GTGGGGGGCCGGGGAGGCCGTCTTCGAGCTGATTTGTGGTGAGGCCGGAGAGCCCCACATATTTAAAGAAAAAGTACAGTTTTAAAATGGTCTGAGCCTGAACAAACGGGAAGATCCTGTCGGTGAGCCCCAGCCCCAGGAACTGGCCACCTCTCAATTCCTGTGCTTTGCGGGCGGGGAGAAATGAATCAACCTTGTCCCACAGCCCGAGGTGGGGCCCTCCGGGCCGCGGGGCCCTTATAGATGCTTGTTCTTAACTTGGGCTGACTTCCCACCCTCATCCCCCTCCCGTCGGCCCACCCCCGCAGCCCGGTGTGCGCGGCCTGGGCTGAAAAGCGCAGAACCGCAGGATGGGAGCCGAGGGGGAGGGGCCCTGCCCGGCCCTAAGGAGCCCGAACCCGCGGCCCAACCCAAGTGGGGCGCAGCCCCTAAACAGGACCCAAATCCAGGCCCCGGTACTGTTGCACCTCGCGCCCTGCCTTTTTAGAATGGCTTCCTCCAGCTTTCTGTCCCATTTTAGCCCGAAAGTTACGAGATCCGACACTATGGACCAGCCAAGTGGGTCAGCACCTCCGTGGAGTCAAGGGACTGGGATTCTGCCGTCCAGACTGGCTTTACCAGGCTGACCAGCTACGTTCAAGGCAAAAACGAGAAAGGTGAAGGCAGTTTTCCTTGTAATTGTATTTGGTGGTCGAGTCCCCCGGCTTATTCTCGAGTTTTAGCTTATGAAAGCAATACAACTTAGAAGAGAAAAATAACCAGGTCAACAAAGACTTACTGTTTTTTTCAGCCCCTCATCCTTGGCTGTGCTCCTCTGGATGAGCTGGGCCTCTGTCACTAGTGCTAAGGGTTAGGGCCTTTTATGGCCGATGCTGGACTGGTGGGGTGAGAGACACCAGGAGGCAGGTCGGCAGGAGGAACACAAGATCCAGAGTCTCCAGACTGAGCCCCTGGTTCTGGCTCCGAGGTTATTTATATTCCAGCAGGTCACTTGGCCAACGGGGCTTCAGCCTCTGAACTGTAAAAATAATGCCTGGACGATGTGATCTCTGATCTTCCCTGCTGTCCCTAAACCTTTAGAATGTAGTAACCAAAAATATTAATAGTACAGAAAGCGCTTACTGTGGGTAGTGGTAATTGAGTCATTTTGGTCTTACTTTTTAACGATGGAAATTATCTTAAAGGTAAATACAGGGTGGGGCAAAAGTAAAATTACAGTTGTTTGAATGGAAAATAATACAATAGTCAATAATACAAGAATAAACTCTGTTTTGCATACTCACAACTGTAACACTACTTCTGCTTTCCCTTGTATTCATGCCAGTAGCATAAAGTAAAGCGAGACACTCAGATCACAAAATAATAGGTGAAGTTTAAAAAGTGGTGCTAAGTTCCCTACCTTTGCTTTCACGGTCTCCTTTGTGTTTAAATATGTATGTTTTTATGGCACAGAGATGAAAATAAAGATGACAGCTCCAGTGATGAGCTACGTGGAGCCGGGTTCGGGTCCCTTTAGCGAGTCTACCATTACCACCTCCCTGTATATCCCCTCCGAGCAGCAATCTGATCCGCCGAGGCCTTCAGACTCAGATGTCTTCATTGAGGACAGAGCCGCAATGACTGTGTTTGTGCGGTAAGTGGTAGGTAATTTATAGCCCTGCTGACTGCTAGTTTCACTGTCCTGCACTCTGTTTAGCGCTGATGCAATTTCAGTAGGCTTTTCACCCTTCCACAGAAACGGGCCTCATGCACTTTTGTGGCGTTTTCCCACTGGCTTATTTCATCTAGGTTACCAAGGGTCTGTGGCAAAATCTAATCAGTTCAGTTAATGCAGAGTCTGTTGCATACCTTCCACAAAGCAGACGCAATGCAAATTATTTCCCCCCCTCCCCCAAAAGCATACGCTTACCTGCCATCTAGTTAAGCCGAACAAAAATATCTTAACTCCCAACTTCTAGGTCCCGATAACCCCAAACTCTTTCCTTCTGTTCCCCAGCCAAAGGGATGGCTGCTGCCTCCTGCGGTTATTCCCTCTGCTAGTTTACGGGTGCGTTTTTACTTTTTCAGACTTCTAATACCTGTTGCACTCATTTCTTGTGTTAAATTCTCCGTTGAAATTTTATCACAGTACATGATAATAGTCTCATGTTGGAGTCCCTTTATTACTCCCTTTCTCTCCCTCCTTTTACCACCAACCTGTTACAGGAATCTGTGTCTCTGCTTCCTCACCTCCCACATACACCTCAAATCACCACCGTCTGCTACAGCCCACACCATCTCCATGGAACTGCTCTTGCCACCTTCCGCAGTGCACCTCCATTTGTTACATAACAGTCCCTTCCCAGGGTCCCCTGCAGCCTTTGTGTGCTGACCAGTCTGTTCCCTGATACTTGTCCGTCCTATAACTCAGAGTGTTGCTGTGTTGTCATTCCTCTCCTCCTCGTCCACTCCTCACCCCCAGAATCACTGTTGATGCCTGTTGTTGATGCTCATGTCATAGCAGGCTTGCTCTGGGTGATCTGTTCACAATGCCTCAAATATCTGTGTCTAAGGACTCTCAAATTTAATGTCTCCAGCCCGAGTTCCCTACTTGTTGGGCATTTCCATGTGGGGTAGGGGTGGGGCTCAAACGAACAGCTCTAAAAACAAGCCTTTCCCCGATTCCCAGCCTGCGTGGGCAGTGACTTACAGTGCCTGTGTCAGTAAAGCGCCTCCGCATCCTGACAGCCTCCCGAGCAAGGACCTCCATGGCCATCA